ATTATATTGTAATATATGTATGGTCGGAGGGTAAGATGGCGCCGCCATTGCGTGCAATAGGTCGGCAGCCTTATAAAATTTCCCCTTGTGGGACTAATAAAGGTATATCAAATCAAATCAAATCAACTAAATGTATAAAAAGTAGGAAGCACCAAGTTTTTGGAGCAGTATTTTAATAACAGAAATCAAACAGTTTTGGTGCATTTTTTTAGCCTTGCAACAGACTAGCAATCTTTCCAGGGTGTACCCCCCTCTAAAATAGTCTTCTAGGATAGGCTCCAGCCCCTGAATCTGATGCGCTGAAGAAAATGGATTGATGGACTTTTTTTAAAAAATGGGAATATGGTATCTAAGGCAAAATTTCAGTCAGTATTTGGTTTGACCACCTTTAGTCCTTGTCACAGATGTCGTTTCTTTAAGGACGCAGGTGGAATTCTCCAGACTTCTGACTGATAGCGTTCTATTATGCGCTTTCCTATCCCAGCATGCTTTTCCTACACTGGCAGTGTTTATGGGATCATTATCATCCTGAAAAATGAAGCTGTTGCCAATCTGAAACTTTCTTGATGATAACATGTGGTGAATCAATATCTGACAGCACTTTCCTACTAGACGTCTGTCCTGAGCTCCTCTGTACATATTGAGGACAATTTGAATCAAGTTTGGATTCAACACCTGTCGCCGCTTATTTCCCGCCCAGTTTATGTGTAATCTGGCACATTTCAGCCTTTCTCTTTGTTTCTGTTTGTTCATAACTTGGCTGCATAACAGCCACAATTTCACTTAGACCATTTCTGATAAGGCTTCAATGAACAGAAGATGAATTAACTGAAGACCCAGATACATCTCTCAGGTCATGCGTCATAAAGCAAAAAAATAAATAGAAATTAGGGGTGACTTAATACTTTTGCACAGTACTACAGTATGGCATTAAATGTATTTAATAAGAACGGTTGATTCAAGGACATCTAGAAAGGCTCACCTGACACAAGCAGTGACTGGGGTAGGCATACTCATATGATGAGTCACACAAAGATTGTGGGTCAATAAGAAGCTTTCTTGTATGATGAGCTTGTCAATATGTAAGCACTTGGCTCACTAAACTAGCAAAAAGGACAAGCAGAATAGCTGCAACTGGCTCAAACTGTAGTTCCCTGTCCATAATGATGAACATTTAAAAGTTTCCATAAAATGGAACCAAATGCTCTCTGTTAGTTTTTTTAGACCATCCAATAATTGAGACAGTAGTGGCGCTGTGAAAGGAGAGCTGTCTGACTGCCATCCTTTTGTTGTTTTCCAATAGTCATTGGCATTTACTGAGCAATATTACAGATGATTATTTAAATCTATTGAGCATCATGACCATTAGCTAAATAGCAGCCTGTTTTTGTTGTGACTTTTTAAATGGTTTAGAGCATTCTCATTTGCACAATATCCTCCAAACAAAGCATACACCTTCCAAATAATTTAACACATGTGACTTTGTTTGAACTTAAATAAATAGCACAAGTAAAAGGACTGCTTTAAAATTGTAGGAGAGGTCTTCTAAGAAAAGTACATATCATCGCGATTAAAAATTGCCGTTGGTATAAACCATCATCTTAGTTTGTTCAATTGCCGTTCAGGAGAAATCCATTCACAGGAAGCAGGTTAGGTTGATCTTTATTTTTTCACATAATTGTATTGTTGTATCATAAAAAAACTTGAAATGGGAGGTTAGTACTAAAAAGTGGTTAGTACTACCTTATTATTATGCAAAGAAACATCTATGGCTCACCTTCATATAGTATTATAATTCTCTTTGGTGTCTATTCATGAAATTAGATACAGTGTTGTCAAAAAATACATATCAATTTTAACTATTTGAAATGGTTTTACTGATTATTTTCAGCTTTATTTATGCTTCAATCTATGAATTCATACTTCAGTAGCAGCTGTGCTTTCTGTCTTCTCACATACTTGACATACACTTGACTATCAACATAGCCTCTCCTCGAGAATGAGGCAGAAATTGCGTGACATTTTCAGAGATGTGTGTGCCCTACTTGAACTTTTTATTAGAGCAAACATGTACCTCATTGTCAAATTAAAGCGTTGTTACATTTAACAAGACACTCTTAATTAAGATTTGTTTCCCTCAGCGACATCGTAATTTTCCCAGTTGTTTCTTTGTGGAATTTATTCCCCGTGAATTCTTGGATTTCCTCCCATAGACTGAATAGGGATCGGACTTCCTTCATAAGTTCATAAGATCTGCAGTCCAAAATGAAATTAGCAAAAAAATTATATTTACAAGGTGAACATTAGCCTCAGATAGAAGATTTGTTCATTCATTCAAAAGTCCTGTAACGTGTGACTAAATGCTTAGCGATGCAAAGACTTTAGAAAAAGTTAAACCCTAATCAAAGGAAGAGCTCGAAGGAGCAGGGAAAAAGTCATTTCACATTAAACAACAAAAATTAAACAACAAAAAAACATTTTTTTGTAATACATCCTCTCTTGACATAAATACCCATCCTTTTTCACTGTCACGTCCTCGGAAATTTCATCACATTTCCTTTATTTGTTGCAGACAGATTGCATTATTATGTTCTAGTAAAGCAATTTTTAACCTACAAGTGACTTTTCAAAGCTGGTAATCAAAGGCCACTGTGTGTTCATTCATTTGTTACTCTTTCAGATGCACGGAGTGTGGCTTTGCCATATATATTGTTTGTGACCTTCCTGGTGGCATGCTGGTGTGCAAAGCTCTGTGAAGTAGAAGTGTTCCTCTTTAGTGTTCTTCAGTTTACAGAGCACAGATTGCTCAGTGTTTTTCACTGAGGGCAAAGCTGCTCATGGAGAAAATAGACCCCTGTGAAGCAAGCAATGCAGACTGACATTTTGCCCCAGCACACACTTAGAAACACAAACATGCAAGCCAGTTGTATACTCCGATGATCCAAAGCATTATTACCACTTATATATGAGGCGAATAACGTCTGTCTCCCACTCAGCATGTTGGATGCGAGACAAATGGACAAATGTGAGTTTGACTGGTGCATCTCAGAAAGAAAGAGGCTTAGGGGGGTGTCTCAAAACATGAACTGGAGATAGGGTGTGGACTGATGGACTCGAACAAGTCTGATCCATCTTTGATCCATCTTTGATCCACCGTTATCCACCATGAACTTGAACAAGTTGACTATTACAGTAGAAGTGTTGAATACATGCTTTCAGAGCTATGCTCATAACCTTTGTAAGGTTCATATATTTGTAACAAAACATGATTTAATGCAAGAGATGACATTTTAGTCACGCATATGTGACTAAACACAAACAGTCATCCATGATCCTTGACTGTGCTTAGAAGTCACAATTCATTAGTGGAATCCTGCAGGAGGAGAAAACTGTTCACATACCAACAGAAGCTGGTGTGCTACAAGCATGATTCATTTCATCGATCATTTTGCAGTAAAGCTATACATAGCAATGAGAATTTGTAAACTTGCATGCTCTGCAGATGGGCTGTGAAGAACAAAAGATCCAGCTGATAATGAAATGCACTTGTGATGTTTTATCAAAGCCTCTGTGATTGCCTCAGATACTTGCTTTTTATTCACAGATGAATGCTTTTGTTGCTCCCTTATTTGTCTGCAGTAATTGTTGCTTTCTCTTGATGGTGTTGTTGTTTGTAATTTTAAGTTTGCATTTGTGAATGGTGTAAGTAACTTTTTTCTTCATTTTGTTTTTCTTATAAAACATTTAGTCAAACAGAACATTGCAAGAACAATAGACAACAGCTACAAAATAACACCTAACATAAGATTATTAACGCACACTTTCTTACACTAATATAATCATATTTTAATACTCAAACACGCCTTATGTATGTTTATATAAAACAGAGAAAGACCATTGGTGCTCACATGTTCTATGTCGCAGTTTGGACAATGATCAAACAACTGAGGAAGAGTTTCAAAATCTTTTTGATTTGAGCGCACAGATGGGCCTGGATTGCAAAGGGTCTCACTGTCTGTTCAGCATGTGACAGTTTTCTTTGGCATAACATTTGCCAGTTACATTTGTGTTCATTATAGTGTTATCATCTGCTGGCTCAGCATCCACTGAGCGAGGTTTGGTGGAATAAGCTAACTAAATGCTTAAAAACATTTAAAAAAAAAATCTTCTTTGAAATTTAAAAAAAATATAAAGCTAAAATAATGATTTAAAATAAATGTTGGAATAAAATAAAACTCATATATGCTTTACTATATTTTAAATAGACTAATCTAACAAAACTATAGTATGAGTGACTTTTGCATACTTTCTATAGCATACTGCTTTTTTAATGTTTTCGCTGGAGCTCGATGTGCTGTGGGCAAAAAAGGTCTGTTGTCTGACCGTGGGCTACCATTCTTGTCCTGTCAGCTCAAATCTCAAAGACCACTCCAAATGACACATCGGATCCTTGAGAATTCTTGTCCAGCTAGCAGCACTGATTAAGAATTTAACAAACACAGACTCACAGACGTGAGGTGTGGCTCAAAAAGTTGATAGCGTGGAATGAGAGTTTTAAAGTCAAGCAATATCTTAGACTCGAGACGCAAACTCAAAGTGATGGGTTTGAAATTCTGTTTACCTGTTTTGTTTTTATTCTCAAATTTTCCACATGATGAGCACAAAGTGCATAAAATATCCCCATCATATTCATTTTGCTTGCATCTTCATTCTTATTGCCACTTTCTTTGTGTATGTGTGCCAATACATTTGTAGTTGAAAACATAGGAATTTAATATCCAACCAGTTTACATATTAAGGTAGGCATTTGGCGACTCAGTTATGATTATCATTGCAGGGAAACAACACTATACTTCAATACAAACACTTCAGCTCTCATGCTTGGTTTTTATTCTGTTCTACCTGTAATAAATATATTACAGAGCTGTTGTTTAGAGGCTTGCTACCTGATAAGTTCTTATTTTTTCCTCATCTGTCTTATTTCTCTTTCTCCTTATTAGCTGGCAACCTGGGACTCCACTCGTGGTTTGAATGGTAGCCTAAAGGAGAATCGGATAGAAAGTGGTATGCATGGAGTAACACTCAAGATTGTAACATTACTGGTAAGTTGTGGGAGTACAGCGAATCTATTAACACTTGAACTGCGTAGGCAAATATCTGAGAAAGAAACACCAAAATATAAGCAAACAGTTAGTTTTTTCTTTTTACCCACAAATTAAGCATCAGTGTTTCTGTAGCACACACACTAGCACAGTTTTGCTGCATTTTTTTCAGATATTCATACATTAACCCTACATGTTTTTGACATTACCTGGGGTTTACATCATAAAGTTTGCTGTTGATAATTAACTGCAATTTGTGTGGCTTTTATTCTATTTTTGCAATAAATATTTTCTTTTCCAGGTTAGATCAAATGTCTCATGTGCACAGCATGAAGCAAAAACTTTATTTACATGATACACAACACTGCATATTTCTTTAAAGCTTGAATTTCAACATAAACTAAATACAACAGAACAAACAGATTAGTGAAACTTGATTCCTCAGCTAGTAAAGTCATGTTTTTAAGCTGAACCTTTTAACCGAACCTCTGCTATCACGTGCGGCAGTTTGCTAAACATTCAGCATAATATACAGAAAGGGGTACAATGAATATTTTTTTTACTCAAAATATTTATTTCAGTCATTATAATCATCATGAGAGAGGACACTGCACATTTTCTCTGTTTCAAAGTGAAATATTAAGTCGTGCTCTCTGTCTTGTCCTGAGAATGTAGCACAGCAGAAGCCTGCTAAACATCAGTCCTACACTGCAGCGGCTTTTCTTAGACCGCTTGTCATATTCTAGTAGCAAAGTCTCTAACCTTGTCCTCCCCCTCAGTCACTTCTCCACCTCCTCAGTCTCCATTTTTCCTCTTTTTCACACATGATTTACCTGCAGCTTATTCATTCACATGAGTTCAGCTAAGCTCTTTCCTGGCAGTGTCACTTAATCAAGTCATTTGCCCCAGCCCACTTAACCACCAGCACCACAACCACCCCTCCTTACCTGTCCCCCTCCTGTTTTTCTCAGCTCGCCTTAGTCCACCTTCACCCGTTTAATTCTGCCCTGACACTTTCAACCCATAAAGAAGAACCAGGAGTCGGTGCAATAAATTCAGAATAGCAATTTCCACATTGATGACCCATAGCATTTGTCATGGCGCCATGTGTTACGGGTCAACAGTTGCTAAGGAAACTATTTTATTAAGATTAAAATAGATCACCCAAAAGCTCTTCATAAAGGTGTCACCCTGCTGTTCTTAAGATGACTGATTGTGTCCTCGCTTCAGTTGCCAATCTGGCCCTTAGGGGATTTTGGTGCATTTTGATAAATGACATTCCTGTCATTAAGCACACACACACACACACACACACACACACACACACACACACACACACACACACACACACACACACACACACACACATACTCTAGTCTTTTCAAAGTTGAAGTCTAAATCCATGGCCTTGGAGATAAAATTCACACTTTTCTCAAGATTATGCTAACATGAGTAGCAGATTACCTAAAAGCTCATTTACTATATGACACAATATTGTTTCAAACAGGAAGAACCTTTTGTGATGGTGGCAGAAAATATTCTGGGCCAACCCAAGAGATACAAGGGTTTCTCCATCGACGTGCTAGATGCCCTCGCTAAGATCCTGGGCTTCAAGTATGATATCTACCAAGTTGGAGATGGGAAGTATGGCTCAGCACTCCCTAATGGATCCTGGAATGGCATGATTGGAGAGCTCATTGGCAAGGTTAGTGGGTTTTACTTTTTATCTCACTCAATCAATGTCCAGATTTCAGTCCAAATATTTTTTTCTGGGAGTCATGCCATTTTTATTTTGCTCTGAAATAGAAACCTAATAATGAGGCTTAGTAATAAAAAAAAGAAAAAGAAAGAGAGAAAGAAAGAAAGAATCAAACAAACTTTTCTTTTTGTTGTAGTCGGTGTCATCCCAGTTTGATTGAATGGGTCTGAATACTGCTGTTAGAATGGATCCCTGACAAATACTGTTATGATTCATAATAATAGTGGAATTTAAATTCAATTTAATAAAGGCAGAAGTGTATATATATTGCGCACTGTACATAGTGTCTGTATAAACTTTCTTAGAGTCTTGTATTCGGTATATGACAGCATGATACATGTTATTACTTAATTCAACTGTTTATCTGAGTGAGCTGTGTGATTTGTTAAATGCAGAAGGAACATTTTCAATGCTACAATAACACAGAATAACCATACAGACTATTCAGCAATGTAGCAGGTTAGTTATGATGGACGTTTCATGTCATCATTACAAAAGATTCTGGTTTTTCTTCTGCTGAGGGCACGAATCGGCAGAGAGAAATTGTTTAAGTGAGGACTTGAGTTGAGATGATAGCAAATTCCTGTCTCTTTTTGTTCCTGAAGATCCATTTTTAAATTGAAAATGTGGACTGAAAGAGGTTCTTGAGGTTTATCAGTGTTATTGTGAAGAATGAAAAGATGGCACATAACAAATTTCCTTCCAATTCAGCCCCTCCATTTGGAGCAGTGTCACAGAAACACCACGCTAATGGTTTGTCTAGAGAATAAGACGCAAGGTTTTCACACTGTCAGAAAGGATAATTCCTGTGTCAGTGTACATATTAGATTCAAGCTTGGAGGCCTTTTATATACACAGGCAAATGATTTTACAGACACACAAGCCAATCTAATCTCCTAAGTGTTGAGAAAAGATTCACTAATTAATGCAGGTGAAGTTAACTAGATTTGTTTCTGATACCCAACAACATATGACAGTGTAATTATCTCCTCTGTTGATTTAAAATAGAATGTTAGAAAGTTACTGAAAATGGAAACGTATTGTTCTTTGTTCACAGCGTGCTGACTTGGCAGTATCAGCAATCACCATCACGCCAGAGCGTGAGAGTGTGGTTGATTTCAGCAAACGCTACCTGGATTACTCAGTGGGAATTTTGATGCACAAGTCAGAAGAAAAGATCAACATTTTTTCTTTACTCGCACCATTTGATCTGGCAGTCTGGGCATGCATAGCTGCAGCCATCCCTGTGGTGGGCATCATGATCTTCCTGCTCAGGCGCATCCAGGCAGTGCGCTGCCAGAACAATACAGCCGGTCATCCACCACCTACCGTTTCCACTTCGCTTCAGAGTGCTATCTGGATTGTCTACGGTGCTTTTGTGCAACAAGGTGGGTAATAGAGTTTGTGTTAGTCAATGACAACATCCAAAAACAGCAATTGCACATCCTGAACAGTATTTGTCATAACAAAGAGTCAAGGCTTTGCAGGTTTTGTTCCATAGTGACTGTATGAAAACCTGTCTGTATTTAGCCTTCAGTGGCATATCAGTGAAACCCACCAGTCAGACAGTTTTGAATGTGAAACCTGACATGAAATAGAACAAGTCACGAAAAACAATTAAAATGCTTTAAGGGATTAATGACAAAAGAGCACAATGAAAAAGTCAAATCAAGTGAAGAACATATGTTAATGTCTACGTCTGTGTAGAGAAAATGCTGATTCAGTAGTGAGTCAGTCTGGGGCACAGCGCCCACCTTAGCATTTTCTAAAGGTGCCCTTGACAAAGAGAGCATCCCATCTTTAGATCTGGTGGAGATCCAGGTATGTCCGCTGTGGATAAATGACTACTTCAGCAACTGATGTTAAAGCCTCAACTGCATCTGTCAAAGTCTGGCACACTGCCCGTGAGCCTTTTTTAACCCAACACCCACTATATTTCAAGATAAGCTAAATTCCTCTCCTTTTTTCTGCCTCTCCCTCATTTCTGGCTCATGTTCCAAAGTTGCCACTTTTTGTTTGAGTCAAGTGGATTGCATTTTTTTCTTGGGGATGACGTAGGTCACTTTGATACGGATCTGACTGCTGATGCATAGTGTGCCATTGTCAGAGTGCATAAACTTGGCAATCATATCCCCCCACTGATTTTATAATGATATGCCAACACTTGGCTGGTTTTTGTTGTATGTTCGGTGCACAATGTACTATCTACGCCCAGACATGCTGGCTTTTTTTTTTTTTTTTTTGGTGTTTTTTTTTTTTTTCAAAAAAAAAAAAAAAAAAAAAAAAAAGACATGCTGACTTTTATCACTGCCTTTTTCAAGCAGGGACTACACTTCTTTTGTTCCAAAAGGAGGTCAGACCAAGGTAGGAAATTATCTGAAACTGTCTAGGAGAACAAATTAAACTAACACAATTTCCTTATGAATAAAGGGTTTAATCAATTTGTTTCTAAGATGAAAGAGACTGTACCACAGTGGACCATTGCAGTGGGGTAAAATCCAGTAAAGTTTCCAGAGCCACATTTCACATTCAGTGACCTCAACAAATCAAAGCTGTATGTAATAAAAATGACTGATGCCGCAGTGCTATGCATCTGACAAGGCCCCAGATTTTTTGGGCTTTTTTTCTTCCTTTTCCGAGATGTCATAAGGGTGCAGTTGTGTTGATGGTGACACTTTTAGACAAATATGTTTTCATTACATTTCATATTCCTGAATCATTCAGATGGCATTTCTGTGGCTTTACACTTCAAAATTAGAATTTGTGCTGACATTTTTCTCATGCACCTCAAAAGCTGTTTCAGGATTGTTTTGCAGAGAATGTGTTGGTATGACAGAAGAAATACTGATGATACCAAAGCTAATGTGATGAACCAGTCTCTTAACCTCAAGGAAAACAAGGAAAAGCCAGGATTAAAGATGTGGGTGAAAAAAGAAGGATGAATTTTAATGAGTAGCGTGTTCTTTGGGAAAATTTAAAAAAAAAAAACAGTAGCATTTCAGGGTAGATGGTTCTGAATACACAAAGCTCTCGGGAAAGTAAATTATTAAATCTTACAGTAATTATACAGAATCACCATGCAGACAGCTTCTCTGGTGTTTTATGCAAATATTAGCACAATTTTTAAGTACAATTGCTTCAGAAAATAAAAAAAATATCTTAAAATCATATTGGTAAAAAAAATAGAGTCATTACATAAGGTATTATCATATGGCTCTCTTATAATATAATCACAGTGATTGCTTTGTAAAGCAGAATCTATATATTTCAGCAGTATTATAATGTACTATAATGGGTTGCATTTTTTGATTTTTATCAGCAACATGTTTGAAAAACCTGAAACATTTTATGGGTTTGGTTTGGTTTTTTCACTACGTCTTGTTTTATTTGCGATACAGAAAAACAACCACAAATATTCTTTGAAATGAAACTCAATGTCACAAGCAATTTGAGTACAGTACTTTACTTTGAAAATTAAATTGGCCAATTTTTTGTAATTGAGGAAAGAATGACCTGATAAATCAATCATGGCAGTAGTGATTATTTGAAACCAAACCTGGTGCAAGGCAAAGACTTATTTTGTAGTTTTTAACTCTGTGCTTCTGTCTGTACCACAACAGGAAGTGACTCCATCCTGGGATCAGTGGCTCTCCGTATCGTCATGGGCAGCTGGTGGCTTTTCACCCTTATCGTGTGTTCGTCCTACACAGCAAACCTGGCAGCCTACCTCACTGTTTCACGAATGGACAACGCAGTTCGGTAAAAAAATAAACTTAAAAAAAAAAAGAGATAGATAGATAGTAAAGAAATTATGCTAATCAAAACTAGAGAGCACATAGTTGTATTCGGTATCTGTCTCTTCTTGGTAAAAAGCCCAGCACATGCATTAGCCACAATGCAGTCTGTGAAAATTGGGTGTATTTTGCTAGTAGCAGCTAAAGTGGCCTTGAGCTGCTAGCCTCAATTAGGGAACAAGGAGCAGGGACCAGAGTTCTGATAAGCTCAGGCTTTCTTACTTCACACCAATGGTCTTCAGCCCCAATTGAGCTGACTCAAGGGACATTACTAGAAGCATAACAGAGCCATGAATGGCTTCAAGCTATCTTTTTCCTATCCACATGCTTATGCTAATAAGCATCTGCGTGCTTCAATCCTAAATGCATGTCTTTGCCTATGTGTTATTTATTTGATTTATCTAAAGAGAAGCTTAATTCAAATCACATGTGGATTTTTTTATATATAAATATAATATGGGGTGATATTTTGAGGCATTAAACATTCTACAGTATTTTAATTACAGGGACATGTGCTGCTGAGTTTTAAGAATAATCTGTGTGCATGTCAGTCTACACAGTGCTTCGGTGATTTCTGACCCACTGCCTAACAAATACCCTGTCTTCAGCCAAAATTTTATTTGTCAGTGAATCCAATTTGGTCTGCTGTCTCTCCCCAAAGAATGAGCAGAGAGGCATTTGATTGCATTGGGTCCATCTTCTGTTGAACAAATAGCCACATGTGGACATATGAGTAGACGAGGCGAATGCTAAGCAGTACACAGCTCACCTGTGAAGAGATTTTGTTTGCAGGTGTGTGTGTGTGTGTGTGTGCGTGCTTCTGTTTAGAGAGACATTAATCTTTATTTGTGGTGCGTGTGTTACAGTTTAACAGAACCACACTGCAAATGATGGCACTTAAGAATTAAATTGAAGAAGAAAGTACACTGTGACCAGTTTTAAATTAAAAAAAAAAAACCTCATGACATCTGCTGTTTTCAATAGTAACACTAGGCTGTGTTGGATTCACCTTTGTGCTAATCTAAATTGACTATACTATCAGTCAAGGTAATAATAATAATAAGGGATTGCATTTATATAGCGCTTTTCAGGGCCCTCAAAGCGTTTTACGATTCCACTATTCATTCACTCTCACACACTGGTGGAGGCGAGCTACAGTTGTAGCCACAGCTGCCCTGGGGCAGACTGACAGAAGCCCCCTCTGGCCGTCACCAGTAGGCGGCAGGTGAAGTGTCTTGCACAAGCACACAATGACCGAGACTGTCCGAGCCGGGGCTCGAACCAGCAACCTTCCGGTTACAAGAGGAACTGCCAACTCTTTGAGCCACGATCGACCCGCCCAATCCAAAGTACTGTATGGATTGGATGCATGCTGCATATGTGTAAAAACTAAAAAGATTTTGATGATTACTGCCTGAGATATAGTTTTTTATCAAGCACTGGAAATGGTAATCTTGTATGGAGAAAATATAATTTCTGAAAACTACAGTTTCGCACAGTTTGGCAACACAAAGTAGCAAAACTATCAGTTTATTACACTAAATTAGCCAATTTTAAAAAATTAAATTCAAAACAATTTACTGCACTTCTCCCTTTTTCGACCTGTAAGCGTTTTAAATATGTATTTGACAATATGAATAAGTGGCTGTTTGTGACCCAGTTCCATTAACAAATTTGATCTTTTTTGGCCTGATAAACATTTGCGATAGCTGCTTACTGAGATGCAGAGGGAGAACTCAGTCTGTGTGTCATTTTCACAGATGGTATAGAAAATGTACAATGGCTCTTTAGGACAATCTCTTTTTCTCATTGATCTGGAAAAAATACAGTAGAGTGGCTTGGGAAAGAAAAGCAGTGTGTATTGTGTGGTGCAATTCTTTTTCTAGTAAGGAGACATCACTCCTGTGCAGGGAAAAGGTTTGGAATTCAGTTCTTTCAGACGCACGTTGTAAACTCAGTTTTGTGAAAAGCTGTGGAAGAGTGTTGGAAAGAGGAACGTTAATACCTTCATTTAAAGTCCTATTATTTTGGTCAGTGTAGGAACAGCTGGGTCATTAATGTCCATACAGGAATAATCCGAGAGGACTGTGAATTAGAGCAATGCTAAGCACATGCACCGTACCCTGAAAATTCCAACATTCCTCTATTTTGACAACATTGTGTAATGTGTACTAATACTCCGACGTACCTGACAGAACAGGGCTGCATATCTCCAAATGTACACAACTGAAATGTGTCCCTGCTTTGTGTTTGTCACAATGGCATTGGTAGCTTGTCCTCCAACATAAAACCAATATCCTAGCCTTGGAGTCAATGTGACTTGAATGTTATAAATCAGATGGAGTGAGGTTCAGTCCACCTTCCTTCATCTGAAAAACATTAAAGCTCAAGCTGTTGCTTTGATTCTTGGAAAAATCTGTTTTCTTTCACAAACAGGTTATGGATCTTGCCATACAGCCCAAAAAACTAGCAGCTCGGGCTTTTGCTGTCAGTGAGGTTGCATTACCCTGGATTTAGGTAATGCTGTGAATGTCCACATGGAAATGATCAGAGGAAATGACATTTAGAAAATTTCCAATAAGAGCAATGCTAAGCACACATGCATGTTTGCATTTGTCTCTCTCTGAGTGTGGGTGTGTGCATGATACATGAGTGTGGTGTAACAGGAGCAATAACTTAATCTTAAGTGAACATTTGCATTTTTAAACACTACACAACTCGTTCCTATTTGTTTACAGTGTGTCAAAATAAGCCTTTACTACGCCTGGGGACAAAGAGGTGATTTTTTTCACCCCCTGCTGTGATTTAAACCCTAATCTTATGTTCTTATCTTGAATTAGTTTGAGAGAGCAAAAGAAAAAGTGAGAGATTAGTTTAATAACTTGTGTCCCTTCAGATACCTTGTAGATTAATACTAATTAGATCAAGTTTTTTGGCTAAATTCTCTTGATTTTTATATTGTTTCAGTTTTCACTGCTTTGGCCAGTTACAGATATGTAAAGCTAACAAATCTATGCATGCATGTGTGGGGAAAAAGGAACGAAAGGAAAAGGTCTGTGTAATGTACTTCAGCCATTATATTTATTGAACAGAGGGTTCACCTTTCTGCAGTTATTACAAAAATCTAAGAGTGATGCAGTGCTTTGAAGAAAAGGTGAACCAGAAAAAGTACTTAAAATGGGCCACGATTCTTAGTACATGTAGATCATATACATATTATTAATTATTTCACCTTCTTCCATTGTTTTTTCTGTGGTATCTTAAATCTGCACCTTCATAACACACTATAGGTCACAGTGTTTATGTAGTTATGAAACTAAGATGTTAGACAAAAATCTGAATATTTAACCCAGTGCATTAAAGCTCGTAGTTTAATGTGACAGCAGAAGTTAGAGACCATGAAATATCTAATAGGTCATTTGTTTTGCTCTCACTTGCTGTTTTCCCCTTTCCACAACCACTTCCACACCATATACGCCTCCAATTAAATGGTTGAATTAGTCCTGCAGTATCAGCTCCAGATAAGCTATTGAATTCTCCGACTTCTCAGAGAATTGGAAAAAAGACGGTTAAAGCTTCAAGGGAAAAAAACATGAACAGATTTCCTTAACTTTTGTTTTTTGTAGTTATTATGAGACTTTAACAAGATATTATAACAATCTAATTTATATTAATGTTTTGTAATAATTAATAACAATGTTTTATTGCCACAACAAGTCGTGAATAATGTGCTGTCTGACTCGTGGTGCTGTAGAGCGCCCCGCTGTTGGACAAATTATGCAGTGTCAACATGACATGGTTAAAGGGTGTGTGTTCCATCTCTTCTTTAGTTTCTTATAGTCATATCAAATAGCCATCACCCCTGTCAGGTATTAATAATTGAGTTGACATATCAGCTGAATACCAATAAAGAAAATTGGCGATATGAAAACATTTTTTACATTGCATTGGCAATTGGCAAATATTTAGCTTTTTAAGTTTCAGAATTAGTCCATCTTAAAATGAAAGCTGCAAGTGGCTTTTTTCTTATTTCCTACAATCTTGAGGCAGAAACTTCTAGATCCAATAAAAAGTAGAATGCAATTTGGAGCAGGTTCTACTGGGGATTAATGACCAGCCATTGGGATGAACCCCATAATCATTCATGAATGCAGTACCCCCAAACTGATCATCATTACTGTGAATCACACTGGACTCATTGTGCTGGCAATGCTGGAGAAAGTTGTGGTATCGCACTACAGGTGTAGCTAATTTAGTTGATAAAGGGCATGATGATTAGTGATTTGCTCCAATGTGCATTAAAAAGGAAGGCAGCAGTTTTAGGTCTACTGATTTGTTGGAGTGCATTAGGGGCAAGTTAAATCTTGAATTTTAAATAGAGGGAAAAGAGAGTCCTTCTGTAAAGGACAGAAGCCAAGAGACTTATGTGGCATAATGAATGAAAGGGGAAAAGAGTGCTGATATCAGCTTGAATTAGTGTTTGCCACATTTTTTTGATTTTGCTCTACCGGGTTGCAAACACAGGAATGCTTATATCCTATTTATATAGCAATATAATAGTTAATATCTAGATTAGCAATAAAGGGACATCTAATAAATTGGAATTGTCTGTGTCACTGTTATTGTGGATAATTATAACAATACAACATTAACAAAATAATGGAATCTTGTATCTGGTTTATCATCTGATAGTAATGAAATATGAATTTGTTGTGACACATGGACAAGTGTAATTTAATAGTTTTAATGTTAAGCATTTGTTCATGCATGTTTCTTGAATTAATACCAGAAGTATTTCATACATCGGGGATTTCTTGCATCATGCATGTGTGGAGAAATAGTGGAGCATGATTTTACAAGCTAACATACAGTTAGTTGTAGCAACTTTGCTGGATGCAAACCTTAAGCCCATCTATGTTATTTATCATCATAACACACTTTATGTGAGTAGTTTATGACAGAAAAGGTATCCTTTGAAAACTAAACATTTTACCACAAGCATAGCCATCATAAAATAAAGTACAGCCCCTTTCAAGGTTTCATCTTTTTCTGTATCGGGACATACAACAAATAATCTGGTCCTAGGCATGTCTTCAAATTAGTTACATGTAACTTCAGATGAAATACAAAACATGACAAATAAACGATGTCATTATTTATCTAAAAAATTAAGCCACGATTCAGAAGCAGTGTGTGAAAAACTTAAGCGCACCTTAAGAGGGCAATTAGCAGCCAATTGCTGCTAATGAAATACACTTGATTAGTTGAGCCTCACAAGTGTGGCCACCTCTATGGAGCAGAAAAAAAAAGTTTTATAGAAGTTTTGGCAGTTTGCTGCTTGGGAGCTTTCAGCTATTGTGATGCTGTTTCCATCAAAACCAATCATTTGTGAAAGTTTATTCACAAGAGGAAAACATTCAAGACAGTTGCCACTCTTTCCAGGACTGGATATCACAAGTGTAGCGCAAATCTACAACAAAATTGATAAAAAAAAAAAAAAAACCAGAACGACAATGCATAATGCTTCCTCCAAAACCATTACTTAAAGTTAAGGCTAGTAAAAGTCGTGTTGCAAGCTACTGAATCATGTGATGTAGTGATGCATTTTGGCCTAATTTTTGTTAAATAAATAAATTGCGTTGATCAAAACAGCCCTGATCCATCGAGACACGGAGTCCACTAGACTCCTGAAGGTGTGCTGTAGTATCTGCAGCCAAGATGTTAGCAGCACATTCTTTCTATCAGTTGAGACTTGAGATCCATGGATCTGACTTCTTTGTCCAGCACATTCCACAGATGCTCGACTGGATTGAGAGCTGAGTAATCCAAGTCAGTATCTCAAACACTTTGCTGGGCTTTTACAGATATCCCCTATAGATATCCAATATTTTTGCTTTTTATCTGTTGGTAAATAAAACCTCATGTTAACGTTAAGTAACATTAATGCTAATGTTATAATGTTTCAATTATCATGACAGTTACTGTATGTTTTCTTCTTTTATCTTTAAACAAAGCAAGTAATTCACTCATGTGACCATGCAGATCATTCCAGGACCTGTCCAAGCAGGTGGACCTAGTTTATGGGACGGTGAGAGACTCGGCTGTGTACGAGTATTTTAGGGCCAAAGGCACCAACCCTCTGGAGCAGGACAGCACATATGCTGAACTGTGGAAAGTCATCAACAAAAACAATGGCTTTGAGAACTCTGTATCCAGCCCTTCAGAGGGTATCAAGAAGGTGAGTATTTATTTTTATCTTCATGAACAAAATGTTCAATTTCAAGGGGGAAAGAGCATTTTGTCTCTAAGAAAAAAAAAGATGTTCTGTAAAAGTTTGCTTTACACAGGACGATGTTTTAACAATGCCTTAGCAATCTAACAGTTCATTTCAGGTCACCCTCAAAAAGGAAATGTATGCACAGCAAAATATTGACAAGAAGCAGGCATTGAAGGGGGATTTGTCTAGCCGCAAAAGAATAAATGAATTAATTAAAAACATCTGTAATGTCTTCAGCTCAATAAGGGATTGTCTTGCAATTCACTGCATTTTTTATCTCACACCACCGTGTAGGAACAAGCTGAGAATTAGTTAAAACAAATGCATGTCTGACTAACAGAAGCATGGAGGTAAAAAGTGATTCTTTTAATCTAACAAATTGCAAAGTTTTTCTAATTGTTCCCACAAACTGCCTGTGTGGCTAAATGAATAGTTTGTGCATTTTGTCATCTCGTTCTTTAACCCAGACACTAGACAATAATAATTAGATAATTTACAGTGGGGTCTGACATGTGCACTTGACACAAAACAGCTTTATTATTTGAGCTGATAATTGGATCGAGTGTAATCAGGCCAGGCAATGCAAGGATGCGTACATCACAGGAAAACTAGTCTCAGTTTAATTTGACGAGAGAAAGCAATTTTAGTCTGTTACTGATTTACTGCATTGCTCTTCATTCTTAAACAAAATACTGCAGTTTTTATATATGTGTACATATATAAATATATAACCATAGTTTGATTGGAATGTGTGTATGCATAACCCAGTGGCTCTTTGTGTTGTTCATCTTAATTTATTACAGGGACAGTCTTTCTCTGGAAGATGTAGGATGTAGGACACCACAGGAGGCAAAAGTCAGGACTGTGTACAAAACAATGAATACATAAATAAAAATCCATACAGATTCAGCTGTGGCTCTTCTACATTTTCTACACAGTGATTTTCAAACTCCAGCTTATGATTGGGTGTCTCAAAATGTGTTATTAGGTGAAGATTGCAAATCCAGAAAAAAAGAATAAGGAATATTTGTTTTTTTCATAAGGTTTTCAGTGTTTAGTGTGAGTGGGCAAATGTGCAGTAATTTCTATGCAAATATTTAGCTCCAGTGTTCGGACTGCTCATTGCTTTGTCTGAGTAAAATATCCTCCTGTGCGCTTCTCCAGTAAAATAGTCTACTCTTAACCTCAAAAGAAGCGTAATGCAAATTGCATTTACACTGTATCTAATCAGTTTTTGTTTGTTTATACAAAGCATTCTCGATCGCTGATGATTAAAGAAAATGTTTTTAAAAGTCATTTAAGATTTCTCCACTAAGCAGTTAAGCATGTCTTTATGTAATTACCACGTGCGTCTCTTTTTGTGTTTGTGATGGAAACTTTTGCAGGCGAAGCGAGAGTCATATGCGTTTCTGTGGGACATGGCAGTGGTAGAGTATGCTGCCCTGACAGACGATGACTGCACGTTAACTATAGCGGGAAACAGCATGAGCACCAGAGGCTATGGCATGGCCCTGCAGCACGGCAGTCCTTACAGAGACATTTTCTCACAGAAGTATGTATACGATGCATTTTTACAGCAGAGAAGCCAATGATGCAATAATGCTGTAACATCTAACGTGTTCAGTACCTTAAAACTTCATTTTTATTGGTCTGGGCATCAGTTCTTTTGGTTATGGTAGAGGTTTATTCATAATATACTCATCTTCATTTAAGGGATTATTCTAAATAGATGATCAAACTAATTGTGCATATTTCTTACGTGGACAACTATGGCAAGTGTAGCAGAGCAAGGTTGAATTGCAAAGTTGGTCTCTATACTGTTGGCCTCTATCTGAAGCATATTTTTACTATTTGTCTGTTGCATTTGGCTCAAGGACAGACAAGTAATTTCATGTCTTAAAATTTGAAAGCAGGGCAGGAAACTTTCTCCCCAGGAATAAAAACGCTCCCGACTTCCATGGCACTCTCTGTTTGTCAATGAAAATTAATATTTAATTAGATGTGAAAACATGAACTCTCGACAAGCACCAACTCAAAAAGAAAGACTGATTAATCTGCCACAAACAGTGCTTCAGTGAAAGATGGGAATATTTGAACATAGGGTGAGGCTGAGACACTTCATGAGTATAAAAGTATATAAATAACTCTGGCAGTATATCTGCTTATGCCTTTTTGCAATGAATGAATGTGTAGGCTTCTGCAAAATGCATAAATGTCAGTCACTGTTGAACAGTTTGAGTAATGACTGTGCAAAAAGTTAACTGTTCCAGTGGGACACCCTAACTGCTTCGCCTGTGTTTGTGATCAGCCATCATCATTCTCCCCAGCATACATCTATTCCTTACCCTGTAATTCGTGCACTAACTAATGGGCCAACTCTCGTATTTGATCATCTTTGTTTCTGTGCTTATACGGTTTGATATGATACTGATTACTCCTAAGCTCTGATTTTCTTTGCTTCATTTTTATAGAACCGAACTTTTGATTCTTGATTACAATCAGTGTCACATCTTGCGCTCTGTAAACTAAGAACTGCAGTGTTTAATAGCTTTACCCTCTATGGGATTTTAATGAGGTTACAATGAAATGCTAATACATGCAATACATTAACCATGTTTTGTTTTATGTTATTTACTCTCGTTTCGTGAGCTACACAATATCGTTGAATTATTGTTACATGATAATATTGTGGTGAAAATTCTCTGCTCTTCTGCCTTTATCATTCTGTTACCTAGGACTTAATCAGAATCAGTGTTAGCAAAGGATTTGTCTTGTGGTTATTACATGAAGATTTCCACCTACTGTGTTGAAAGAACTACTTAGTCTTTTCTCTGAGCAGGATTTTGGAGCTTCAAGAAAAGGGGGATCTTGACATCTTGAAGCAGAAGTGGTGGCCAAAGAAAGGTCGTTGTGACCTGCAGAGCCACACAGAAGCCCAGCCAGAGGGACGGGCGCTGCGTCTCCACAGTTTTGCCGGCGTCTTCTGCATCCTTGCCGCAGGGTTGCTACTGGCCCTCCTAGTAGCTGCACTGGAGACGTGGTGGAACAGCAACCACTGCCGACGAGAGCAGCCCAAAGAGGTGACCACTGACAACTCGTCGGGCCAGGGCCCAGGCCCAGGCCTTCTAACCCAGAACCTGGCCATGGTGGCCACCACGGGTCCCCCTGCCCCACCAAGGCCCCGGTCGAGACCCAGACCCCCGGGCCCCCCGGTCCTGCCCAGAGATGCCACTGCCACACTCTACTTTATGGATCCAGCAGGCGCTGACACCAGCCCCGATTTAGTAGAGCTGCAGTACACCCAGTTATAATAGGTGTGCCCCTGATGATAGTCCAGACATCATGTGATCAATCTACTCATTCCTTCTCATGTTGGGAGAGAGGTTGGGGTGCTTTGTAAGGGACTTCTCTGAGGCTTCTCTCTCATGCTGACACAAAGAATCCTTAATTGCCAAAAAAAATTAAAAATCCGTCACTGGTGCTCACATGAGAGACCCGCAGTGAAAAGATAACATGCAAATTTAATACCACATACTGAAATTGTACTTCTGAGTCGATAAGTGCTTCAGTTGTACAATAGCTCTCTTTAGCTAATCCATTCAAGTCTTAATGCTTTAGAGCTCAGACTTTATCTTGCTGCTGTCGACTGGGCAGCCCCTCTGCATGAGGCGTCCAGACAACTAAGGCTTGACATGGATCCCTAAACTAAAGTGTGAGCAAATGCAGATAGTAAAGAATCTGAGCCTTGACCTGCCTGTTTGACTTGACAGTCCAACAATACTGGATGAGAATACCCATTTAAGACCCAGTCCTGCCCTGGAAAACACACAGTAAATCAAACTCCATCCAAGCTGCTTTTTGGTGCATATGAGAGTTTGAGTTACTGCTGATGATTTCTATTTCACAGTCTTTGTGTGTACAGCAGTAGCTGCTCTCTTAATAACCACATATTGCTGTCATGTGAGATTCATTACACAAACATCGCTGCCATTATTTAAAAAGACAAGATGTGCTAACTCTAATCGTGGTTGTGTGCTTTATTGCTGTTGATATGTTGGAAAGATGTTTCCACCCAAAATCTTTTGACTGTAAAACACACACGCTCTGTAGTCTTGAAATGTGACTGTGTGGAAATTTAAGGCAGAAAGAAAGAAGCACATAAAGATGCTGGGCAGCATCTCCGATGTATAGGGAGCAGTAAATAAAGAATCGTAGCAGTTCAAGGAGATTTCTAGAGGCTTGTATTTCCTACTCCAATTGCGCATGCAAATGCAACAGTTTACAACTCATTCAAAACCTGTTACATGTATGCAGGTAACAGTGAGGTGGGAAAGGTGCAGACAAATTATTTTAATAAATTTACTATTCTGTAACACAGTTGAAACTGAAACAAACAGGAGGACAAATTAAAGAAACAAGAACTGTTGACAATAATAAAAAGTAAAATGTACTCTCACAACTGGTACAGTCCAGGAAAACAAACAAACAAACCAAAAAAATGGCCATAAAATGAGCTAGCATTTTATGACAGTAGAGTATGATATCATGAACACAGGATTGGCTACAGCAGTAATGAACAGCAGGACGCAAAGAACAAAATCTTATCTATAGGACCCAAACTGCTTCTTAAGATAAGTGACAGCATGTCTCACAGCTCCCTTCTAGACTGCGAAAAGCATGTAGTTTTTCTTGGTTTCACATGGATTCAATGATGGCAGGTTTTCATGGCAGAACAAAAAAGTAACTAATAAGTACCCAAATGGTGAAGTAGTTGATCCAAACCAAACACAGTGAGGATTTTTGTGTTTGCGCTTCACAAATATTAGTTTTGCCGTTTTTAGAACATAATTGGATTGGCTTTCGAGTTTTAAAATCTTTCCAAGATTTAACATTATGTCAAGTTGTATAATTCACTTAAACTTTCTGGTATTTGTTAGATTAAACTACTAAAACAAATATGATGTTTACCTTGAGATGTGGTTAAAAAAATCCGCTCAGCAGTCATGAAATCAAGCTGACCACTGCACAAACTTTAATTGCCTTTCATGCCTAGAGGGAGTGATTAAAATTCAAAAGACTTGGGTGGACTATTACTTTATATTCTAAATTGTTTTAAGCAGTGCTCTGTGGCCCCATGACAGCATTAGAATACAATATGTGGGCATTATGACAGCCATTTAAAGCAAAACTCTGCTGCAAGCCTGAACACACCGGCCAATTAGTTTGACATTATGGAAATACACTTAATTGCTTAGTTGTCAATAATTACAGAAACGTGATGGCACAACAATTTTCCTTTAAAAATGAAAAATTCCTTTCTTTTAGAACACAGGTTAGCTACAGAAAAAACAGCGAGTCTTGGCTTACTCTCATTTCTGCTCATATGTGCAAAATCACATTTGGATTCATCAAACATTTGCACCAGGTACTGTGCATATGTCAGTGAATCAGGGTCAGTCTAATGCCACAGGATCGTGCTCACTACATGCACTCTGCATACTGCCGCACACCAGTTTCTTCATGTAGGTAAACATAGTTAACATCGAGGTGAACAATGGAGAATGGGATGTAGTTGTTTTAAGAAAAAGCGTCACCTCTAAGGCAAAAGTCTAATAACAATTAAATACTGAATTAATACATGAAATTAAAAAAATCTTCTAGCCATGCAGTTTTCAATACTAAATTACTGACCAAATAGATCAAATAAGTCTTGTTTATTTCAGTCACACGATGCCAAATTATATTCTTTAACATCCTCTTGGATATGGCATCTATATTAAAAAGAATCTGGTCTGTACTACAAAGCAAGTTTAGAGGTTTAGCAACATAACAGAGGTTTTAACCTGGGTTTTTATTGTTATAAAGGCCATTTACTTCTTACTTGGCAACTTACGTAGCACACCTAACCTGCTGAATAACAGGTTATATTCATAATAAGTTCACCACCTACTCATCAATCACTTCTCTAAAAAATAGTGTGTCCATTCCTGGGAAAGTTGGACCTCAGTGTGCAGGCAGTAAAAAAAACCCAAGTTTAGTAATTTCTGGTTTTATATAAAACTTGCATAGCAACACTTACGCTTTTGAGCTGTTTTTGTTATATAATTTTTTTTACTTGCTCTTAGACCTTTTAATGACAGGGGGGCTGTAGCTTCAAATAATAGGGCTTTACTTTTATTCACATAAAAAAAACCCTGAAATAATAGAATATTATGCAGTTGTAGTTATATGTTTGTCAGGCTTTTCTCAACCCTTGTCTTAATAATAGAGGTGTGAGCCTGATAAGTTTATTAATTTACACAGTCGGCATCTATGTCACATTTTTCCAGTCTGACAAAAATGTTTTGAGCACACAAATATCCATACAGCTCTGCTATCGCACACACAAACACACCCTGCTGCTTACAGCAGCTGCGCTCATTTAAGCCTGAATTATATGTTTAACCACTTTGTATTTTTCTAAAATTGTAGTTTGATTGCCATAAAAATAATACTAAAAATGATAATAATTATTATTATCATAAAATTGTTATTACAGTGTTGCCTTACGATACAAAATTAAAAACAAGATCAATTATAAAAACACAATTTATGCATTTCTCCTGCAGGTAGACCTGTTTATGTTTCTAATTACCAACACTGACACCTGTCTCATCTAACTTTCAGAAAATATATCAATAAGAGTATTTCCACAAATTGTCAAACTATTCCTTTTATTAGCCAAGTAGTAATTTATTACAATTATATGTCAATGTCCGGATTCACGGGGATCATTTTGGTTATGTATCGTTGTCTATGGTCTCCAGCAGGTGACTAAGGATTACGCTCTGCAAAGGGTTTCTGGATCATTGACATATAATGACATAACAAGCTCCTTACCAGAAGGGAGGCGGGACATTTGGACTGACAGAGAGACAGACTGGGAGGAGGCCGTGGCTCTTGACACAGGTCAGGAGAGGCCTGACACACTGTACTGGATGGTCATTGGCTGTGACAGGGCGAAAGGGCGGGGCATGGGGCCCGACAGGGGTAGATTGTAGTTGCTTCATCCGTCATATCACCCCCATGGTCTCTCCTGCTATTTGCCTGTCTAGTTTTGTCTGTCATCAGTCTGCCTCAACTTAAATGGGTGCATGATTATAGATTAACATTCGAAAGCAAGCATGAAAACCTTTTTTAGAAAATGTGTGTCTGATAAACAGTTATGTGCTTATTTGGCTTCTCTCTCCCCAGTCCCATATGTATGTTCCCCGTCTAAAAAAAAAGGAATATTTGAAAAATTCTTCAAAGTAATGTGGCTTACTTCAATTAACTGACATTACCTAATTTGTCTCCATTTACACTTTAGTGTCTCACATAGTTTGTGCATCCATTAGAGCCTGTCTTGTTAACAGCTGATTTTTTTCATGCCAGAGTCACCTCCTGCAGATGTGTGTTCACGTAATTGTGCAAAAAATTTAAACACTTCTGCATGAAGTGACAATTTCCTTTAAGTCCGTGTCAGTGAAGTGGAGGCGTTACCTTTTATGACACCATATTTAAGATTTACTATTTGAAAGTAATGTCTTTCAAGATGTCAGCTGCTTAAAAATTTGAGTACATTTTTAATTCATGCTCTGGTTTCTTGAATGATGCTGAAATAAGCCAGTGTGTCATTTCAGCATCCTTCAGAGTCATATAAACATTATTAGATGTGTGTTAGGCTTGTGTAATTGATGATAGAATAGACTACATTGCATGTATTGAAGATTACTAACTACAAAGCTTATGATGAAAGGACTATTATAACCTGTCTTTCTCTGTCTTCTTTCACTCTCTATCCTCTTCTCATTTCTTCTTTTAATCTTTTAACCCCTTTTCACTTTGCATTCATTTTCACTTGTTTTTTTTATCACACTCCTCTTTGATTACATTCATGCTCTCCTCTACTGCCTTCTTTTATTCTATGCACGCTCTTTGGCTCTGCCTTCCTTTCAATCTATTTTTAGGACAAAGAAGTGAACCTGGAACAGGTCCACCAACGTTTGAACAGCCTCCTGGACGAGGACTTAGCCCACAAGCAGCTGCCAGGTCAGTCTATAGAGATCTCTGCCCTGGACATTGGCAGCATGCAACCCAGCCAGTCTCTGGAGGCTTTGTCTGTTCGGGATTACCCAGCCCATCGCGGACCACCGCCACTCTCTGTGACCACCTTCCTCCAGGAGGGTCATGGGGCAGGAAGGACACTGGGCGCGTCCGCTGGCAGGACCTTGCCCCTGCCCCTGAGCAGTGCCACCATGCCCTCTATTCGCTGCAAACACAGGGCACCCAACGGAGGGCTCTTCCGGCAGAGCCCAGTCAAGACACCCATGCCAATGTCCTACCAACCAGTGCCAGGAGGACCCATCCCAGAAGCCAGTGAGGCCAGCCACGGGACATCCATTTAAGCAAGCCGAACATTCACAGACACTCGAGCTCAAACAGAATAGCGAAGAGCTAAACAGAGTGCCGGCCGTGTGACGAGCTATAAATAAAATGCTAAAAAAAGGATTTTTACTACCAATGAGACAACACACGAAAAGACACAAAGACTTTAATGTACATATTTGTAAGTACAAAGCGAGAGAAGCAACATTAAAAAGTGTATTTTGAATATTCTCAACAGTTGAGTTTAAAAAACAAAAAAGTATTAAAAAATGACTGAATGGCTTTGTAAATTTTGTTCTAAATGAATAAAGGTGACAATTCTTTGTGGTTGTTTTCTAAGTGCCAAGTTCAAAGATGTTTTCTTTCAGATCATTAACTGAATGTACTGTGAGAATTCATGACAGACATTTCACACTTAAAACACAATGGAAGAACTGATTTGTTTCATATGAAAAAAATAAAAAGTATAATACAAAAACATCCAGATTTGCGTTTGAATATATTATTGGAATATCATTGTCACATTGTCTGTATGTTTAAGTGATCACTGACAGAATTGTGCTTAATGGAAAAAATACTGAAGAACTAGAAACAATAAATTAGTTTTTAGATCAATATTATCATTATTTTATTTACTGGATTTTTCCATAAAATAAACTGGATTTAAGAAAAACTATCTGCAGTAATTTATACTTGACGGGATAGTGTTCACCCTTTTTTGTGTGTATGTAGAAAGACAGTCAAGTCAGATACCGGGTTAAAGATGTGCAGGTACAAGCTAAAGTGTCTTAAATAGTAAACCATGTGTGATATTTGCTCATTCGATGTGTAGATGTTGCGCCTGCGGTCTACCTGAACAAATAGCGTTGAGTTCAACCAGTATGCGGCGATAAGGCTAAAAGAGAAAACGTAAATATTATATTGGCAGCCTTGTGAATCTTTCATTTTCCAGGCATAATCTTATTCCCATAACATGGAATTGAAATAAGCAGCAACAGATAAACTTGGTAAATTATGGCATTTTTGCCAGTTTCAAGAACTACCCGCATATACAGATGTAATGTAAAAATTGTGTTTTCATAATAAAAAACAATTACTAAACTTTGCAATTCCCCAAGTGCACAAAGTTACAGGATACCTTACAAAAGTGGGTCCAGCAGACTCCTTCATAATGTCCTCCCGATTTCCATACACCTGTGGTCCTCAGGGGTCAACAATGTTCCCACTTCATTTGACTGTTTTTTTAAAGTATAAATTGTCAATCAATTCAGTGTTACATCTTAGTTTTACTTAAGACCAACACATTAACACAAAATTTACCCTACATTATACATTTTAGGGCCACCAGGCCTTGTCTACATAAAGTACACTCAGTTTTTGAGCGAAAATAAAACGAGACAATAAAATATTTAATTGTTTAGATAATTTTGACTTTTTGTCTAACTACAGAGTGCTGTATGTTGAACTTTAGTAAGAAAGGGGTTTTTTTTTAAAGCCCCTCAGGGGTCAAAAATGTCCCCATCTGGTTTGATTGACACTTAATTAATATGAAGTGGATTTTTTCCCCCACTTTTAATTAAAACTTAATTCAAACATTTTGACACTATTTCTTTATTCCATTTTAAATTTAAGTCTGATAAAACCTAATTTAAATGAACTTTTCCTTTGTCTTGGGGTAAAAATAAATAAATTAAATCATCAGTTATTGTGATTATCATTTCACAACCAGAGTTGGTTGCTTTAACAGTAAACAAGTTGTTACAGGTGATTGTTTTCTTTTGGAAACCTTCTGCAATGTTAGGGACAACTCGCGTGTCCTGACTGCAGGCCAGATGGTTTGCCATCATACACTAGCATGTTCCATTTACAGCTGGACCTGGCATCACATACTGCTCATGTTTTTATCTCATAGTTCCCCGGTTGGGATGTTCTGTTGGAATGGACAGAATCCTCTGAAGGGGACTAGGCGCTCACACACAGTCACATCAGTACCTGGATCTTACATCAACAGCAGGAGAAACACCCACTTGTTCCAAACTCCTCAAATGGGAGCACGCTTGTGTCATGAACGACGATCATCTATTGTGTCTTTATCAAGAAATCATATCCTTTTTGCGATTCTGTGATTAATCTTGTGTCAGCTTGAAAACTTCTCTACCAGACTCAGGATGTCATAAACTGGCTGTAGCAACTTTACTGGATGCACAGCAGTAAGAATCAACACACCCACATATGCCTACAGCTGCATTCGATCCATTATTCTTCCTCTCTTGTTGCCCCTCTTTGTTTGTCATTGCGTTGGCTGTAGAGCAGGTCATCTACTAATTGGATGGTTGTTGGTTCAATCTCTGTGTGCTCTAGTCTGGAGTTCTTACCAAGGTGCCCTTGGGCAACTTACTGAACCCCAACTTGGTCTCTGATGCATCCATTGGCATTTGAACGTTAAAAAGCAGAATACAAGCAGAATACATGGTGTATAATGTTTCCAGTGCTCGAGTAGAAAAGCCACTGAAGGAGTATGGGACCTGGCATATGTGCTTGGACCATGATAGATTGTCTTTCTCTGTGGCACATGGGAGAGTCATGCATTGTCTGTCACTGGGAAGGATAGAAGACCAGATCAGTGTTTCCTCACGTTACTGCAAATATTCCTCCGTCTCAGCTGACTCCTCTTTCCTGCTTGATTCTTTGTCTTCATCATAATTGAAATGGAAGATGTGTAGTCCTCTGACACATCTTCTATTTCAGTTTCACATTCTGAAAATTCAAGAAACTTCAAGAAGCCCAGTCACTTTCTTTCCAAGCTCCTCAGACTACCATGTCCTGGATGCCTGAGAACCTACTTGAACATTGTTCAGATTCTTCATCACTTTCCTTCACTTCATAGCCTTCTTCCACTTCTGCAGGTGGGTGATGTGCTTTGTCAGAGAAAGGGTAGCATGTGATCTAAATATTGACAATATTTTCTCTATCTTCTAACCCTGGATCTTCCTGAACATTGATTCTTCCTTCTGATTATACTAGATGACAATATATGCATTGTTCTACTGGTCATTGCTCTGCACAACATGGTAAAAAAAAAGTATGCTCACAAGCCTCCAGTGCAATGGAGGTTTGTGAGAATACTTTTTGTGTATATTATTGTAGGGTCTACCTTACAATATGAAGCACCTTGATGCAACTGTTGTTGTGATTTGGCGCTGTATAAATAAAATTTAATTGAATATAGAGCACCTGCCTCCTCATTGTGCTGCCTGCTGTTGTTGTTGTGGTTGTTATGACCATTGCTTGACCCCACACATCAGTGATACAAGATCAAAGATGTTTGAAAGCAGTATGGTGTGAAAATATGGGCCTTTGCAACACTTATTCCAATCATGCATAGCATAGTAATGAATAACTTATGTTATTTTCAGACCATTTGATGAATAAAGAACACATTTTTGATAGCAAAAGATTTCTTTAGAGGACAAAAATGACCCAAGGGCAACACAAGGGTAAAACAAATGTCAGGTACTTGCAGCATTTTCAAGCATGCTTATAACTTTACCTGATAACAGAATAACCTTATGTCTTTTCCATTCAACTCCATGATTTTCCCCGTAGCTGCTTTGATCCTTTCAATGCTCATATCAAGGCTGCCGGCTCGTGGATGGCTATGACCTCTGGATAGCTTTGTACACTTTGCCTTTATTACCTTCTTTATAATGACCATGTTCAGCTGGGTGACAGTGATTTAAGTGTCTGATTAGGTTTGATGTTACAAATGTTTTTCTAGTTGTTCCCCCCGAGTTTACTTTGGCAAACTGTGTCTTACTCACTCACAGTGAAGCTCACTAATGACCACGGCCACATGCTCATAGCCTGTGGCTGGGAGTGCGGTGACTCTTTTTCAAATACAGCTTATTGCTGATATCTATTATAGTATATAAGAGTGGTGATCCCTGTTCTAATCTTGCAGACTCATAAAGGAACTTCCAGCAAGTCTGTTGTTTCGACCTCAAGCATCAATTTCCACTAAACCAAGCAAACCAGGCTTTTATAAGAACAAACTGGGTGAAAATAGTCTTCTAAAAAAAGCAATGTGATATTTCTTGTTTGAATTTTGAATTAATCATTTCCTAGGAGTCTGTTAGAGACAGAGATTATAATCATACTGGTGTACAACCACACATGCAAATGTGGTCCACCAACCAGTGCACCAATTTGGCCCCAAACACCCTACTTAACACCGATATTTTAGTCAGGTTGTAATTATTTTTCATTTTTAAGTGCTATGATGATAATAATTGAACCACACTCATGGCATGATGAGGGGATTGTAGACCATTGTCTGCCCTCTAAAGCACACAGTCACCTTCTACTTTTCTAGTTAAGGCAGAACAAAACAAATGAAACTTCTTTGAGGAGTCACTACTGCAAAAGCAAGGACATGAACCCTCACTTCAAGCACCCCCCTGCTGTGTTGACTGTTGTGTCAGCTGGCCTGATTTCTTTTTTTTTTCCATGGAGGTGGAGTGCTTGTCCAAGATTTCTATCCAAGGTGGCCCTACTTCAGTGCACTGTGACCCTAATGATAAAAACTTCAAAAAGGAAGTGAGGACTTTAAAATTGCTTCCCTCAAGTTTGAGAGCCACTTGCACTTCAGCATACTTGAACCAGGAGATCTGTCTGTGCTTATATATGTGTGTTGAGATTGTTGATTTGCCCTCATCACCTTTCCTGTCCAGTAATCGTGCCTGCCAGTCTCGTATGCGGTGTTGAGCAGAGCGTCAAAGTATCTATGGCGGTGCTCAAAGGAACTACTGACCTTGTTCTGAGAGCTGGGCCGGGTCCTGTCACAGACATACTTCCCATTTTTGCCTAACACAAACAGTCCACTGGGACAACTTCATGTCATGACTCATCTTATGACATGACCCTTTTCACCTCCACATCTGATACAGCACATGCAGAAGCTCTTTCTCGCTTTTGGACAAAAATCTAATTCTCCAGGGGAGCTACTGAGATTATTTTCACCACAAGAGATTACTCATACTTTTATCTTGAAGACAAGTCCAAATTTTAAACATTCCACAAGGCGTAGTGAATTAAATGAATATGCATATAAGGAAAAGATGATGAGAAATATAGATAATGTACCATGTGTTAATGAAAGTCACAAAAGGGATGAGTTTTACATGCAAAACCAATATCTCCATCAGTTTTTCACAAAGCACACCATTGCATGAACAGGGACTTTGTAATTAAACAATTTTGCCATACATGACTCGCATGAACAGTCTGTATAATTAGCTCGTGTGGGCAGTGTAGGCAATCTGCTGTAAAATAACATCTATTCTCCCTTCGGGAAGATCACTGACCGTCTGTCCAAACTGCCTCTGCAGCCTTATTATCCATTCATTGAGCCATCACACCTCAAACTGCATGCAGGGCTTTCACCTTCTTGTCCAGAGGAAAGCTGTTTGTCTTTTTGCCCCCTAAACTTTTAATTTTGATAAGTGATTTGTTTCTACACTTGCCATAAAAATATATTTTTAGCTACTGAGTGATGTAAACCTTTTTATGTTGTCATTAGAAACAATTTTGCTGTCTAAATAGTTTTACCTGTTGTTAGTCAGCAGAGCAAAGTGTTCTTTTGGTGATGTACACTTTGAAGGCCCATGT